TTGGTCATCCAGTAGATGTTTTAAGACCATACTACTGTTACATTCCTGGCTTTGAAAGACCAGGTTCCATGATTCCAGTAAGGCAAACAGTTCAAAGCACAGACAGAATGACCACTGCGACCTGATCATTGCCATAAGACACAGACTGTCAAACCAGTAATCTCCCAGCTACTGGTCAAATCTGGTACTCAGGCACTAAGAAAGTCTGAACTCAATGGGTTCATATAGACCTCCTTCAGCCAAGCATCACAGAAATAACAGATTTTTTCTCCTACAGTTATTTCTAAGGTACCTTTCAGGTACAAAGATACTGGGGAGGTGTTTTTTTGCCTCTCACGTATTCCTGCAGGATAGATGTGAGCCCAATTCTCCACAGCTGGAAGAAGAATATATCAAGTTGGATTCATGTCAGTAAGCTCCATGTGGAGGTCAGGGATGAACAGGAGTGGCCTGACGGTCAGGGAAAACCCCTGCCACAGTGCTAATTACATGTAAGCTTCACTTTCAAAGCTACATAGAAGCTTAAGATAATTTATCTTTACAAGGGATTTAAAGGCCTATCGGCTTTGGGAAGTGAGAGTGACAGGAGAGGGAAGTGCCAAATCACCAGCTCAAACTTCCAGTTGCTGTTAATATGGGCTGAGCTATCTGTGTCAGCACTAGCAAGGCTCACTCATCAACCCTCTCTGACACCTCTGCCTGGTTCCTTGAGATTTTTTCTTACCAACAAACAAAAAACCCTTCAGTTTCTCTAACATTATTTCCTCCCAATCCCATAATACTGGATTATTCCTAAACCTAAAGCAAAGAACATCACTTTGTGATTCAGGCTGCTTTCTGAGCTAGGAGCAACAGCTCTGCTGAAATACCTCATTCGGTGCTGTTTGAAACACTACACAGCATGAACCGAGTCTGGGAAGACAGGAAAAATGGAATTGTAGGCTCGTGAAATGGACACTGACAAAAACCTGAAATGTCGAGCTCACTCAGATGCAGTCTGTGTTTAATCCAGTCATCAGACAGTCTCTGTTTAGCTAAATATTTGAGTTCAGAATTGGGCCTGAATTATTATTGGCAAAGCTTCCAAGCTCCACAGGTCCCTCTAACAAGCTGTTCCTCTGTGGAAGCCTTGCAAGGAAATGAATGCAGCCTTTGAGGAAACTGCTGGAACCCTTTTCAGGCTTCCAGAGTGGGTTTGTGGAGTCCCGTTAGGTGTCCAGGCCATCTGAAAGCTCCATATGTTGAGTGTTAGAAGCTACAGGGCTGATGTTTGTGTGCGTTTCTGGGATGTTCCCAGAGGAGTTCTGGCTCCACAGCATGTCACAGGAACAGAGTTATCAAAGAAAGCACCAAAAATAACCTAGTCTACAGAACAACTAAAAGTCAAACCCAGACAAAAAATAAATAAGCTGCAGCCACACATGAAGCCATGTAGGCAGAGCTGTAAGGTATATTCCATTCTAATGGGACATATCTGAAAGAGCACAGAACTGGCATGGTTGAATTTTGAATACCCACAGCAGGGACATAAAAAAGCACAAACATACAATTCCTCACAGCATCAATGGCAGCTGTGTACCACAGTGCCCAAAGGTCTGGTTCAGGTGCTGCCAGGCAGAGCCCATGGTTGCTATCTTAGCACACTGGGCTGTTTGACACCCTGTCACGTAAAAACAATCCACCAGCAGTGAGAGGAACATGGTCATCCCCTCTGCCATGCAATATTCAATTTCCTGTCTGTGGCAGCATATGCCAAAAAAGACAATCCTCCAAGGATGGAGGCTGTTCCTCAAGCAACTCCCCTGCTGTGGGCAGCTCCAGAGAAGCAGAAGCTTGGCTTCCCAAACTACAGGCAGCTGCAGGCAGGAGGAGTCACCTTCCAGTTTTGCTTCCAAAGCCAGATTATAAATTAAAGTCCAATTTGCTAAACCTCTAGGTAAGCAACTGTTTCTGCATAAACACATACTGGTTTGTGGGCTGTATTACACGGCTAACTGCAAATCTGACTGGCTTGAAAAATCACAGTGTATACAACTATACACAGTGTATATAAACTAAATCAGGGAGCTAACAGAGCCACATTTTAAAATTACATGAATTTAAGCAGCCTGGCTCATGATTTTTGAATGTGATCAAAAATAATGATTATCCTAAAGCAGTACATAAAAATTGTGCACTCAAAATAAGAGCACAAAATTCTCTGACAGAGAGCTTCACTTCTAAGTGAGAAAGAGCACAAAGCTGGCTCAGCTGAAATTATTCTTCAAGTGAAATAAAGTCGAAGATTTTAACACCACTCTGAAGATGGGGTCAATGTCTGGAATATATTGCAAAAAGGGCTTAAATTACCACCTCCCCCTGTCATTCTTTATGCTACAACATTAGTGGAAAAATCCAAGGGCTCTTTTAGGTCTGTTAGCTAATAAATGGATCGCTAGGCGAATGTTCAGTGTCGTTAATAAATCGTTGCAGCATTCTGTACTTAGTATCAGCAGAAGGTCTTGGTCCCTTCCACCCCTGAACACATACCACTTTGGGAAGGAAAGAAGGAACTGCCTACATTGCCTTTTTTTCTGCCTGCTGGAAATATCCGAGCTCACAAACAGATGCGGACTCTCAGTGCATCTGCGCTATTCCTCCTCCAAGACCAGCATTAACCCGCAGGAGAGCCGTGGGTGATGAGTCCTGGCTGATTCAAGCTCTGGAAGACAATGACATTAACAGTGGCAGGTTAAATCCAGACAGCTTTCTATCCAAGGATCTCTTACAGCATAACAAAAGGCTAGCAAGAGCCAGAGGTCCCACCTAAGGCTGGGATGCACAGTACCTCCACAGTCCGTGCAAGCAGGGATTATTCCCTGCCCTATTCAGGGCTGTTTCCCCAGCCCCCAGGCACTAGGATACCCAGTGGGAAGGGCTCAGCCCTTCTCAGTCATTCCTGCTGGCGCCGTTCCAGTTTGTCTGAAGACACTTAAATATTCATCGAGAAAGAGCAAGACTCCGTCTTGCCGGGTGCACAGACTGCTCTCCAGGGAGACGGGACACCTGCCTTCTCTGCTCCCTGCTCCATCAAATCATTAATTATTTAAAATAACAGGAAAGAGCAAGAAAAACTCTCCGCACCAGACATGCTTGCAGCCTGTTGTTTACGGTGCTCTCTGGGGTCTTGTGTGGCCCGAGGTTTGCATCTCCCCTCCGGCAGAAACAAGGATCAAGTCCAGCTTTCCCATTTCCTCGGGGAGGATGCTCTACCCGCTAAGCTATTGTACAAAAGAAGCCCTTCCCCTTTATCCAGACAGACCTTATGCTCACTTTTCCTACTAGATATAGTTGCCTTTTTTTTTTTTTTAAATAACTTCAGTTTGAATAAAAGGCAAACAAAACACAAATCCAAATCTCTGAGAGCAGCAGCTATCCATAAACCCCCACACACTCTGTATTTGCTCAAGAGCTCAGGGTCCACCTCCCCATTTCCCAGCTGGGCAGGCCAAGCCGTAGTGGTCCAACTGCATCAGCAAGTACTTGGCTACTGAATCCCTCGGTGATGGGTTTCAGTGAAATGGAAACCACCATCTCCCTGCTCTGAAGACATTTCTGGTGTAGCTGTGTGCACAGAGGGACGTTTGGAGAAGCAGAGAAGTCTCTTCTTGTCTGCATACCCCCAGGACATCGCCTGCCTCCCCCCGTCTCCCCACACACCAAACGCCCTACGCTTTCTCACAGGAGCAGCACGGACCTACACAAGAGTTCCCGAGACCGGGATATACCCGAAAACTGTCCCAAGCCCAGGAAACAGCCCCATCTGCACCCTGGACTTCGTTGCTAGAGCAGGAAGTCGTGGCAGGTGAACAGCACTGGCACCCTCATGTGGTGACAGGCATCAGAGTGAGCTCACAGCCAAAATCAGCGGTACAGAGAGGGATGCTTCTCCGGGGGGACTTCTCCAGGGAATCCTAACAAGGACCACATCATCGTCTAGGGGTTGGGATACAAACCTGATGTCACCTCTCCTATCCTGAGACCAGCAGCAAAGAATCAGAATGGTCTGGGCTGGAAGAGACCTTAAGGATCATCCAGTCCCACACTTTCCATGGGCAGGGACACCTTCCACTATCCCAGGGTGCTCCAAGCCCATCCAACCTGGCCTTGGACGCTTCCAGGGATGGGGTTTCATATAAGGTCTCCCCGGAGCTGTCTCTTCTCCAGGCTGAACACCCCCAGCTCTCCCAGTCTGGCCCCAGAGCAGAGGTGCTCCAACCCTTGGAGAACTCCTGTGGCCTCTTCTGGACTCACTCCAGCTGCTCCATGTCCTTCTATGTTGGGGACGCCCAGAGATGGAAGCAGTATTACCAGGGAGGAGTGCCCTGGGGGACCCACAGAAAGAGATCTGATTATCCCCCTCAGCCTCAGCTCACCCTGGTTTCTTCCTTATACTATCAAAATGGGGAACAAAATAAAAGATAAAACCAGCCCAGACGCTGAAACTGGAGAATTCACTAAAACTGCGGGAAAAGCCGTTTTGCCCCCTCCTGCACTTGCTGAGGGACATGTGGTAACAAGAGCACCTCATTCCCGAGGAACATCAACCCCTAAAAGCCCTGCTTTCAGGGGAAAACAAAAACAAATACAACCCCCCGTATATCCTACCGATTAGAAATCCCTCTCCTACCCAATTGTTCTGGAAACAGAATTAAATTAATTTCGAATTAAACCACCCACCACCTCGAAGAAGCAGCACTCAGCAGTGCCGCGCTGAGGTGAAGGGCGGCACCTGGCCGAAATGGCGGCAGCTGGATGTCCCCGCTCAAGTCCTCCTCAAACGGCCCGAAAACGCCGGGAAATGGCCTTGTTTTATGATATTTTGCTTTAAAGAGCAGCAAAAGAGCAGCTCGGCGGCGGCGAGGTGGCTTGCGAGGAGGCGGGGACTCGCCTGTCAGCCCGCTCTGAGGCGGGGGGGACGCGCCTGTCAGCCCGCCCTGAGGCGGCGGCGGGGCCGCTGTGTCGCGACATGGGGGACGACTTGGCGTCGGAAGGCGACACCCGTGAGTGGGGCTGAGGCGAGGGCTGCCCCAGCCGGGCGGGGGACACAGCGCCGTGAGGGCCGATTCGTGTGGCGGGGGCGGGAGGGAGCCGGCGGGGCCGAGGGGCAGAGCCGGGATGCCCTAAAAAATAGCGGGACACCTGCAAATCCGTTCGGAAATAAAGCAGGTGGATAAACCTACCCGTGAATCAAGACTGCTGTTGCCCCGAAGCATCCTGCACCGCTGAGATGCTGCACATAACTCTGGTAGTCCGCACTTGGGGTTTTTGGGCCCCTTGGTCGCCGGGTCCCCATCCCATGTTGTCTTTGTCCTGCAGCCCCGGGTAGAGCCCAGTGGATGGGTTTTGCACATTTCTTTGGATGTCTTTCGCCTCCTTTGCTGCTTTTCTACATCACTTGCATAATAAACTGCCTGTGAGTTGGTGCATTGCACTGAGGGTAAATAATTTTAAATGTTTTCCACACTGTTTGTGATAACTGAATTCCTATTCAGTAAGCTATGAAGTACCCTGGAATCTGAGCTTGAATGAGAAGGAAAGCTGCTAAATGTCCACTGAAATGTTGCTGTTGGACAGGTACATGCCATGATGAGGAGTGCATTTACACTTACAGAGCCACTGTGGATCTTAAATAGGAAACTCAGACCATCAAACTGTTACTCATGTGTTGCTAAAAAGAAATAAATTGCTGCTTCTACAGCTTAATGATGCCAGATTTGTTACTGCATCTTCACAGCCAGTGCAAAGAATAACTAAGGTAATTTGACATCTCTTGAAAATGATGCTTTGTGTGGCCATAAAATGTAAGAACACACTTCTGTCACCTGGAGAGCAGGGTCAGCAGCATTTGCTTAATTGAAGCATAGGATTTACTCCACTGAAAGGAGATAAGTATGTACAAGGAGGTGGTATGCATGTAGCCATTGGTGTTAATAATTAACAAAAACTCAATGTGTTTTTCACAAGTTCTCCTGATATTTCCTCTCAAATGAAGGGTCCATGCAGGGTGAAATGCAATCCTGTTAACACAGCTGACAAGGTGATAAGAGAGTCTTAATGTACAGTATAGGAAATCCTGTTTCTTGCAGAAATCAAGTGTCCAAATCCTACCGCCTTCATTGTAGCAGCAGGTCCAGCACTCTTGAATACACACTCTCAGATGACCATGTCTGGTGTTAAGTGGACAAACACACGTACAAACATATTGAATGATCCTGTCTAGGATTAAAATTTGTGTTATTTGTGTTTTTCTTGAGCTAAAGTTTTTTTTTGTTTGTTTGAAGGCAAGGGGAATGGAAACTGGAGGATGAGATTATACCTCTGTTGCTATACATGTCCATTGTAGGGATGCCTTTCTTCTGTGCCCTCCAGAGAGATTAATAGTGCTCTTTAGGCAGCAAGTCTCCTGTCTGTGTGGTGGAATGGGAACAATAATATATCTTGATGCCTTTTGTATGGCATGTGGTTAATATGCAGCTGATATGTTGGAACAAACTGAAGTTGCATTGAGTCCCTCAAACTTCTGCTCTGCAGAAGTGTAGAAGAGAGCAGAGCCTCTGGGCCGATTTCCAGTGGGATATGACAGGCCAATGTGACTCAAGCACTTCTTGAAGGAATTCCCCAAAAGCACTAGGACAGAGACTGGGTCCAACAAACGCTGACACTAGCCTTGCCAAAAGCCTTGAGTGCCTCCCTGTCGGGCTGTGGCAGTCACAGCCTTGCTCTTGTTTCTTGGCAGGAAGGTTTATCCCATCGAGGAGAAGATTGCTGGGGCAAGGCCCAGCATGGAGAGTAAACACTCTTAAATTGTGCCTAACTGTGCAGGACAAATATTGCCAGTCATGGTGAATTATGTGCAGAACTGCCACGGTTTGTTAAGAGATGCAACACTAAGCACAGGCCAGGCTGGCAGTTTTGTGCTGCTTGGCTGGTTCAGGTTGCCTGGAGGGGGACCATGTGTAAAAGCCTCCTTGTAGAGCAGTAGGATGTAGGTGGAAGGATGGAGGAGTCTGTGTCATCTCAGAGCCCTCACACTGACTCTGAGCCTCAGAGGGTGCCCAGAGGATATGGACCTCATGAATCAAAAGGTTTTGCAGCTGGACCAAATCCTTGCAGAGAAAGACACTGAATTAGAAGAGAAGTGGGTAGGACTGGAAGAGCACTGATGTGGCACAGGGGTGGTCAGGGAAGGAGAGAAAGTGGTAGAATATAAATTCAGCAAACATGCCAACATTTGTAGGGCTGGGATTCTTGCTAGAAGAATCTTTCTGCAGTCATCCTTCCTTGAAGCCACGGGGGCCGGTGAGATGAAGAGGAGGTTTGTTGGGACATGCTGCTCCTTGCTTCTTGCCAGCACTGTTTTAATGCTCACTCTTCTGCTCTGCTGCAGTGCTTCAGTCAGAGAAGGAGTTCCATGGTGCAGCGAAGCGAAATGATGTAGCCAGGATGGAGGAACTCATCAGCAGAGGAGTTGATATCAAAGCCAAAAACAATGTAAGTTCTGGGTTTTTCCACCTCCAAGCTGCAGGAAGTGCTGAGGGCATGTTTCATGCAGCTCCTTAACACTACTCTTCTCATTAACTGCTTAATTTGTCAAAGCTTTAGAATGCAACACCCAGTGCCAAATAGGGCCTATGGCAATCAAGCAGTTTTCACAACACACTGAGACCCCCAGAACGATCATCCTGGCCACACTGGAAAGCTGCAAGTGTCAGATAGACATAAGTGCCATGAAAGGCTTTGATTTTGCCATTTGTGTACAGCAAGGATGTGGGAAAAACTGTTTCTGGGGCAGGCCTTTCCTTGTTGACTAGTAGGTTCATGGAAATACAGGATTGCACCCATCCCTCGTGTTTCAATCTGTCCATTTATGGTCAGCAATGTTCTTCACTGTGTACTGTCATTATAGTCCAAGTTTGCAGTTCCTGAGTAGAAGGTGACTAAAACCTTTCTGCCTGACAGGAGAGCAGAGACAGAGAGCTGCATACAAAGAAAACTCTGCACAGTGTGAGAAATTCTGGCTCCATAGGTAGCCAAGGATATTTTGGCCTTCAGAAAGGCTGGTGGATACACACCAGTGCATACATCAGCCTTCCCTGCCTCTGTGCTTCCCTTCCAGACAGAGCGGACTGCCCTGCACTGGGCTGCAGGAGCAGGGAGCGTGGATGCTGTGCGGCTGCTCCTGGATCACGGTGTTCCCGTGGATGATGAAGACAGTGTACAGAGGCAACTCTCCTTGCATGTGCTGCAGATGTGTTCAGTGCTGGGGACTGGGTGCTAGGCCAGCAGTTACAGACTGCACCTTAGCCCTGGGTGGGTGGCACAGGGTAGCACGCTGCACCTGCTGAGCAAGGGGCTGCAGCAAGCCTTGTTGGCACATGTGTCTGTGCTCATGTGTATTTTGGCTTTTCCTTGCATGCACAGTGGACTGGGAATAGGTTGGTAGAGTCTGTGAAGTTTTCCATAAAACATGGGGATGCTTGGCTTCTTCTGATTGTGTTGATGTGGCTTGTGGGATGACAATGACACCCAGCAAATTTTCTCTCCCCCATACAGCCAGGCTAATACACACCATTAAATAGGTAGTAGCTGCCAAGAAGCAGGTCTCTGCTCACTTGCTGTGATATATCTGTGACAGGAATAATAATAATTGAAGAAAGTGCAACTAAAAATATACCGAGAAACAAATAGATTTGGAAAAGTTCATTAAGCTAAGAAGACAGCTTCCCTCCAAGGTGGGGATGATGGTGACTGCAGTTTCACTATAAGTATCTTTCTTCTTTTTGCCCAGTTTGGAATGAGTGCTCTTCTCCTGTCTGCCTGGTTTGGCCACCTCCGTGTCCTACAGATCCTTGTCAATGCTGGGGCCAAGATTAACCATGTCAATAGGGTGAGAGTCTCCCTGTGTGGATCCATCACTTGGCTCTAGACGGTGTTGGGAGACAGAGAGAGGTTTACCTGTGAGCTCAGTCGTGTGTGACAGCATCTGCTCTGGGGACTGCCATCTGCACTCTGACTTATCCCTGAATCAAATGTAATAATCGGATCTCTAGAGATGCACACAGCTTCCTCACCTCATGTTTGTGCAGTGCTGATGTGGAAGGTGTTACGGCAATGGGAAATGGGTTTAGTGAATCAGTAGTCCTTGTATTCTAAAACAGACCTTGTCTGGGAAAAGGGGTATTAGTATTTCAGTCATAACTTGCTGTCTTGCAGAACAAGGAAGTTTAGCCCTAGAGGTGCAGGGAAGGATGAAATGGGCCTTTGCTAACAGGAACAGGTTGTTAAAAGAGACCGATTGTCCCACAGTCTTGGATTTGTTGAATGAGCAGTCCTTTGTCTCCTCTCCAGAATGGCAGGAACCTGCTTCACTGTGCAGCTCAGAGGGGACACATCCAGATCATGGAGTTCATCATGGAGGACTTGGAGGATGTGTGTGTGGATGAGACAGACAAGGTAGGAAGGCTTTTCACAGCTTTGTTCTATGAAATCTGGTCTTGCTCTACTGAGCTTAGCAGGAACATTGCCCTTGGGAAGAGAATCAGAGTCAGACGCTACTCCCAGAAGTCTTCCTGCTGAGTGAGCTTAGGGATGATGGGGATTCTTGCTCTGGTCAAGCTTCTTGCAGCAGGTGATCTGATCTTGTGCTTTCTGAGCCTTTTGGACTGTGTTTCTCTGTTTCCTTTCAAAGATGGACAGGACAGCGTTTCACCTGGCTGCGGAGTATGGACAGCTGGAGGTGGTGGAGTTCCTCATTCGAGTGGGTTGTTCTCACAGTGCCAAAGACAAGGTAGGGGCACAAAACCACATGCAAGGGAGGTGAAGTCCAGGGATTAGGGGGCATGAAGACCAGGGAACAAAATACCCAATGAGGCTCAGGCAGGCAAGTTGTCCACGGTTGTTACTACAGCTGTGGTATGTCAGGGCTTTTCTTCCCTATCCACTTCAAGCCATTTTCTTGCTTAGTTCATGATTTCTCTCCAGGACTTTTCAGGCAGGATACACAGCAAGCCTGGTGGACCATATTCCAGTTTAAGGTAGAAGGGGTTCTTTCCTCACTACTGCAACTGTAGGAAGATTGCTTCATATTGGTGCTACTGGTTACAACCTCCTTTTCAGCCACACTGGATATACTCTGTGCAAGGTTGTGGTATATGAACACTCAGTCCTGTGAGACATATGTTTATAAAGTAATGTTTACTTTCAGGAAGAAAATACAGCATTGCATTTAGCTGCTAAAAATGGACACCTCTCTGTGCTGGAGAAGATTATAGATGTCGGAGTGGACCTTGATGAAAAAAACTCAGTAAGTACACTTAAATTAAATCAAAACCACATCAGTTTTGCCCTTTTCCTCCCTAGAAATACTCTCCTGCCACAGTCATTAGGCTGAAAAGCCAGTATTGACAGGAGAGGTCTAGAAAATAGCTGATTTTATCTAAAGCCTATGTGGGTAAAGGCAGGTCACGCTTGCAGAGTGTCAGTGAAAGGCAACATCCGTCTTGGACCAATTTCCGGCTTTAAAGTGTTGCCTTCTCTTCCTGCTGTATCTGCTCACCTACCTTATCACTCCATTTAATCTCCCTTTCTCTCCCTGACCCTTGTACATTCAAGTGCCTAAATGGTTATTGAGTGTGTTTTAAACTAAACTTCACCGTGCTTTAAAGTATTGACTTAGTCACTGAACATATGGACCTTCTGTTTGAGGTCTCTCTTTTGACAGATCTGCTCTGGAAAATTATGTGGCTGGAACACAGTTAATGACTTAGATAGCAAATATTGGCTTAGTATCACTGTTATTTATTCCAGGGCACACTCCCAATTAGGTTTATCAGCATTTTTTTTAGTCTTATTTGGTTACTGTCTTTGAAAAGTGTATTTGATTGTGATTAAGATCTGAAGGAAAGGGGGAGCCACGTTCTGTGGTAACGGGCAGCATTTGTCTACCCCCACATGAGCTGCCCTTTGTGCAAAGAGCAATAATAAAACCAGATTAAATCACTTAGGAATTCTGCTTGCTTGCTTCTATTTTCTTGTAATGAAATGGACTGCAACCCTCAGAAGGGAAAACCAATGATAGAGAGTCACAGGTTTCCAGTTTTGTCTCTGGGCTATTCCAGGAAAATGGTTTGTCTTCACTGTCCATGTGAAATTCTTTTTGGTTTATTGATGGACTGGAGGGGAGGAAAGATGGTGAGCACAATGTCTGTCTTGTGGCCCACAGTGACATTCAGGATAGAGCAGTACTCTGGTATGTCCAGGGCAGATAACCGTGTCCTCTATTTTTGTAACAATCAACTGGAGATCTCTGGCCCTCAGAACTGGTACTGTAGCATGTCATGGATTCAGAAGATAGGGTAGAGTCTGACTTGTTCTGCTGCTCTGTCTCAGCCTTGTCTACAGAAACGCTGCTTGTGTCCTTTCTTGCCTTGTGCAGGAAGGACTCACGGCTCTGCACCTGGCTGCTGAGGGGGGACACAGCCTTTGTGTGAAGCTGCTTGTGGAAGCAGGTGCTGATGTCAATGCCCAAACCCAGGTTAGTTCCACGGAAGTGATTCCATCCCCAAACCCTACTTTGTGGATTTATGCCCAGACCTGTGGCTTTCCGGGTCACCCATTACAGAGAGAGCCCTGCATTCAGGAATAGTACTGGGAGTTTAGAGGAAGGTAAATGTGGTTTTGTACGAAGATGCAGGTGAAACTCCTTGGGACTGGTTTGGCTGGAGGCAATCTCCATGAATTTGTCAGTGCTGGGCCATAGGACTCTTGCAGGAGGGAGAAGGGAGGTTTCTGTGGGTAGTCTGTAACAACTGTAGCCTCTGGGAAGAATCCCTGAGTAACACTCCTCTCTTCTGACTTGTCTCTCAGAAAAAGATGAACTGCCTTCATTATGCAGCTCTGCATGGCTATGAGGAGATAGCCAGGATCCTCATGGATGCAGGAATCCACACTGATGCTCTCAATCATGTGAGTCCCTCTCAATGCTCTCACCACTAAACAAAAAGATAAAATCAGTTTGTGGAGCTGCTCAAGAGCACCAAGCAACTCTGGAAAGACCAGTGCTGCAGTGTCCCTGTCAGCCCCCAGTGCAGACTGGCAGCTGTGGTAGAATAGAACTTGCTGGGCACAGCATGATCCTTTCAGTGCTATGAGCTAAGCTCTCCCTAAGTGCAGGATCTTCTTTCCACAGCAAAATGCATCAGCAACACACATCGCAGTCCTGCAGAACTTCCCAGACATGGTGAAGCTCTTCATCAGTGCAGAGTGTGACCTTGACATTCCAGATAATGTAAGACTGCAGCTCCTGTTCTTTGTGTTTGAAATGTGAAGCAGTTTCATGGGGGATTTTATCACCTTGGGGACAGGATTAAAGAGGAGTGCTTTAAAATGTGGAGAACCTGGAAGTGCAGCTTAGGAAATGTGAAACCTGTGAAATGATTCTAAGTATTGCAGTGAGATAATTGCTTGATGGTATTTAACACGAGGGTTGTGCTGTGTCCCCTGCAACATTGCATAGTCAGGCTCTCTTCTCCTTGCTGGAAGTATGTAGGAGAAATTTCAAGATGGAAGATATTCTGCAAAATGTTTGGAGGGCTGACAATGGGAGGAAAGCCTGGAGATAGCTAGTTGTTTCACCAAATTGTAATTTTCTGAATGAGGGGCTTTGTGTAGCTTGTTTCTGTTAATCTTCACACTTGTAGGGATGTTCTCTCCTGATGATACCACAAAATCGACACATTTTATGTTCAATTTTACTGGTTTCCATTAAACAGTCCCAAGGCTCCTCCTGGTAGTGTTCTGTCCTTCCAGCCTCACATTTGTCCTTCTCTGAAGTGTAGTCCTTTCTCCCTCCTTCTGCAGAGGCAGCAGACCTCTCTCCACATCGCTGCAGAGCACAGCAGGCAGGACATTGCTGAGATGATTCTCATTGCAGGAGTTAATCTGAAGCTAACAGACAAGGTAAAGATCTCCACGGGTGAAACAGGTTCTGTCGGAGTATGGAGGGAAAATATAAGTAGATGGTCTCCGTTAATGTTTTTCATAATTTTCAAGGAAGGCTAGTAATATTAAAATTTGGATATTTCCAGGGATAAGCCCTTAAAACATGGCTGAGTAGGTTATTTTGATGTGTTTTCCAGGAAAGAAGTGACTGGTTCTTAGACAGGTAAAAAATAGATAACACAATGAACAATGCTTTCCTTCTCAAAGTTGTTTTAGTTCCTTCTACTTGTACTATCATGAGCAGTAATATCAAAGATTTCCTCAAATAATGGTAAGTAATATACCTGAAAAATTACAGCACACATGTTCTAAAAGGTTGAAAGGATCTGTTTGATGTAGATCTGGCATGGTTCTGGGGCTTTTGCCAACTAATAAAATCAACAGAACGAATTTCAAGAGGCCTGAAAATGTAGTATGTGCCCAGAAAGTGCTGGAGGGACTTGGGCAGGGATTAAAATAGTGTTTGCCATTTGCATTGGGTTAGGGCAAGTGCAGACCTGAAGCCACCTGGCTGAACTGGCCTTCAGCTGTGAATGCTTGTCACCTTTCAGCACTCTTCAGTGACACTCAGCACAGGGGACACATTCACACTTTTCTGTATGAAATTGGGTTTCTGCTCACATCTGAGGCTATCACTGTTCTTCCTGTTATGCCTGGTGCCTGGGCTGGCTTGCTTTCCTTCATACAACTTTCAAATCTCTTTCATTTCTGCCTTCTGATTTTTGAAATACAAATGTCCCCGTGCCCAATCCAAAATCATATTCATGAAAGGAACATAGCCACATTTCCATAGTCCCATCAGCCTGTGCTTCTCCTAGGAGACCATTTCTAATCATGTGTATCTGGAGCCTATAAAGTTAATGAGGTTGTGTAAATCACTTTGGTTTCATGTGTCAGCAAACCTGCTGTGCAAAAGGCTGTAAAATACCTTGGGCTGCAGAGCTGAGCTGGTCCTCTGATTTCTCTCATGTTGGTGGGTTGCAGGAAGCTTTTCCAGTGGCTCCTGCAAAACAGGCAGATCCCTTGTAGCAACAGAGGACATGCTGCAGTCTGGAAAACCACTCCTCATGCCCTGAATGCAGGAGCTCAACACCAGCTCACATCTGAAGTGTGAAAAACAGGTCTTGGCTGGGTGCATTACTCAATAGTCCTTGTGCCTGCTGCTGCAGATGCTGGGTGAGCATGGATTATACCTCCTAAAGTGCAAAGTCTTTTCCAGCTCATTTTCCCTTTCTAATTTCAGCAAGGGAAAACATCTCTGGATGTTGCTGCCCGAGGCAATCACATCATCTTGGTGGACATGATTATCAAAGCTGATCGATTTTACAAATGGGAGAAGGTGAGCAGCTTACACAACAGCCCCTGTGCTTTCTCCTCTCCATTGAGACTCCACATAGCAGCTGTCAAAGAAAAAGAAATACAGGACATCCCGTGACAGCCTGACCTCTATCTTCATCCCCTTACTTAAGACAAACAGAAGTTCTCTCCATGCCAACAGCATCTACTTAAGGCTTTCCTTATTTATAAAGGCCTCTGTTGTTAGAAATCCCAGGCGGCACTGATGGGAATAGGGGTTTCCAAAAATTATTTAACAGCTGCTCCCAAAGGGATAGAACTAGTTCATTTTCCCAGAAGGAGAAATTGAAGGACTGAGAGGGAAAATACTTGGCCTGAGGTCACCAAAATGGGATTTTGAGAGTTTTTCAGCAGTGGAAAGAGACAGCTCTTGTTGGATTCATATGAACAACTTCTCCCTCAAAGTGCAGCCTCTCAGCCTCAATCTGGCCTCTGAAATCCTGACTACCCCAAGCCTGTGCCCAAACCAAGCTGAGAAGAGTGAGCTGAAAGTACAGCCCAATATCACATGCTTTGCATGTTCTTAAGATTTTGGTTGTCTTCCCATAGCAGAGCTCTAGGTGGCTCAGGTGCAGCTTCGGGAGTCATGCTCAGTGTATCAGGCCCTTGCATTGGCTTCCCATGCAGCCCTAGGGAATGACATGCAACCTCTGCAGCCTGGCATGTAGGCACTGTGAGCACGAGCTGATGTTGCAGGGAAGCAGGAGATTTAATTAAATGGTTCTGCCCCAAACCCCGGATAAAAGGCAGTGTAGAAATGCAAATCATGATCTGCAGGGGCTTCCACAGCAAAGTGGCCATTAACGACCTTTTAACCTCACAGAGTGAAATGAGAATAAAGAGAATAAAAAAATGAGCTGTGCCAGAAGATCACAGAGCCGAGGATATGGGAGGCTGCAGAACCACAGGCACTGCTGCAGCACCTGACTGACCCTCCTGTTCTGGCTTTGCAGGACAACCTGAACAGCGACTCTGGCTCATGGGTGGCAAAGCACTTGACCTTTAAGCAGGATCACAGGCTGGAAACACAGCACATTCGCTCAGTCATGTGGAGATTAGCCACTAAGTACCTCAAACCTGGGGAATGGAAGAAGCTGGCACATTACTGGAAATTCACAGATGACCATATTAGGGCCATTGAGCAACAATGGACAGGTATAAAAAAAGCTTCCCAGGTATTTTCTTTTCTTTCCTTGGACTTTGTAGGAGATAAAGCTGCAGTAAGAGCAAAGCATGAAAAAAAATCAGTTGGTTTATTTGAAGCAACCAAAATATTGGGTTAAAAATTCTGGTTTTACTGAATGTGGAATTACCTACACACTGTAATTTGTCTAGGAATAAAACATGAAAGCAGGGGAATTAGTGGTTCTTTGCTCACTCCTTATGAGACATTTGGCAGGCCTGTGAGTTCTTGCTACAATTCTTGTTCTGTAGAACAGAAGAAACTTGCTGGTTTTACTTTATTCTTTGGAGTGAATTCTTTAGAATTTATGAGCTACATTAGCAGAAGCAGGATCTGAGGGTCAGAAACAAATCGTTGCTAGTTTGGCTGTTGCAAGAACTCTGTAATCTGGATGATGTGAGCAAGAGGCCAAGCTGTGTTGTGAAGGCAGAAACTATATTGCCATGAAAGGCTGTGCAACAAACTCAAGCTCAGCCATAGGCACTCCATTAAATGCCACACAAATCCAGCAATCACATCACAACCAGGAATTAAAACCATGTTTTACAGCCTCCTAGTAAAATCTAGAGAGGAGGGAGGGGTGTGCAAGCCCACCAGGGCAGAAATCTGCTCTGGCCAGGGTCGTGCACTCTTGAGTGTGGGATTTTATCTGTGGTTTGATCCTGTCAGGCACTAAAAGCTACAGGGAACACGGCCATAGGATGTTGCTCATCTGGCTCCACGGTGTGACCACTGCAGGAGAAAATCCAATCAAGGGACTGTATGAAGGCCTGGTGGGGATTGGGAGAAGAGATTTAGCAGGTAATATTTTTGTCTTCTTTCAAATAATGCACAATGAGCAGTATTTGAATTAATTTACCCAAATTCTGGGCTTAGACAACGTACACAGAGGAAAACTTCACTGAAGCCAACTCACATGAGCTGAAAGCATCTACTCTGCCCCCTTGCTTCCATTACATGTAATCTCTTTAAGTTTGATAAATGAACAGATCTTACCACGACTTTATTTTTCTGTGCAGCAGATCATTCTCTCTTACAGAAAGTATCCGGAAAAAAGCAAACGCAGACTCCACCTCTCCACGGAAGTGCACAGCGATGTAACACCAGGAGCATCCTCTCAGAGCTGCAGGAGAAACACTTCTCTGCTGCTGAGAGAAGGCAGATGCAACCTAAGGGCTTCTTGTCACAAACTGCTGGCACTGCTGCATCCTTCTGGACAGGAAATGACAGGGGTAAAACAAATGCTCATGGTCAGAAATGCCTCTACACAGAAGGGAGCTTTTTATCAGCAATTTCAAATGGTCTGGGTTCTGTAATGAGGTTGGTGAGCAAGACTTATCATAGTGCATCAGGAAATATTACAGTTTTACTGTAATGTGTCTACTGCACATTTTTGTATATAAAATTTCAATTGTCAAGTTTTTAAGTTAATGAGGGCAAAGGCTTTGTTTTCAGGAATGTTCTTTATTTACTTGTATAGGGTGTCTCATGTCTTAGGCTTGTCCATACATTCCCACCATAAGAGGAGAACTTAAGCAAAATCAAAGCTACTCTTTGGTCCTTTTGGAAGCTGAGGGGTTGTGATCTTTAACTTTGACTCTTCACAAAAAGTTTGAGAAGAATATTAACATGTACTGTTTATAAACGTACATTAATATGTATGTTTATAAATCAAATAGGTGACTCTGACCTTTTCAAAACATGTTTTCATTTGTCATGTAATCCTCCATATTTATTTTTTACAGCATCTCAAGGGGAAAATAATGTCTGTACTTCAATAAATCTAGATTTTACCCTTTCAAGTTCTAAGTTATATCTTGCCATCTTTATTAAAAAAAAGCTACGACATTCTTTCTTAGACCTAAACCAGTACAACCTTATAGTTAAAGCTTGAGAGGAATTCAAACAGGTAGTGGTGGTTTTTTTCATTTCCACAGGTGTTCACAGAAGCAAATCAGGACTGCAGTGAGCTAGGCTGCTGTTTTCTTGAAGTCAAAACAAGCTACACTTGCTGAAAGTGAAGTTTTATTGAAAACCATTTTTAAGCGGCAAGAAAGTTAAAAATTCAAATGCTTTATTTCAAATAGAAACAAACTAACAACACCATGTGTATGAAGCAAATAAGTGAGGGCAACATTGACACTTAAACATCTTTTAAATCAAATATTCAACAAAAATATGTCAGCTTATAAGTACAGAATCTGCATGTGGTAATATATACAGCCGAGTGAAAAATATAAAAGGAAATACTGTTCTGCTTAAGAACATGATATAGTGAAGACTTTGGTAGAAAAAATGTCTTTATTTTTAAAAGTGTAGTCTTCAAAGATGCTTTCTTGAATCCAAAGACTAAAAATTAAACAGATCTATTCCATTACACTGCTGGAGGTTGCTGTCCACGGGTAGTTCACTGACTGTTGATCCTGTTGGAATCACACAGTGATAATCGGCTAACACAAGGGAAAAGGCAGAGTGGGAGCAGTTGATTGTACACAGGAAGACCACCAAACCAATGCCTCTGTTTCACTGGCACTCCCAAGCTTACTGCTCTTCTTGCTCGTTGCTGGTGTGAAGGCTGATCTTTTGGACTTCCAGCTCTTCTGCACTGACCATGGAGGGATCGATGGCTGCGTACCGGGTACCGTGGAACTGCAGCAAATGGATCTGTTGGACATGGGAAATAACACAGAAACAGGTGTAGGAGCACAGTGTCTTGGTAAAATAGAAACATTCCTTCTGAGCAACTTCTGAGGGTGAAACTGTGGCTCTGGAATGTAAGAGTTCAGAGACAGAAAACCCTCAAACTGGCCCAGCATGGACACAAGCTGCTCCCAGCCCTGTCCCTTTGGTATCAGCAGCACAGAGCACACAGGGAAGTTAAGAAACAAAAGCAAACTCAACAGGAGCTTCCTTCTGCTGTTCTTGTGGCTAAATACATTCATAGACTGAACTCAGGAACTCACTTGAATGTACAGGTTGACCTCAGCACTCCTGCAGAGATAGGGGAAGTTGCCTCCTGTTTTGAGGTGAGCTCTTCTGGCATTGGGGTAAAGTTTATACATTTCTTCTTTTGCTTCTGTCGAAAGTGCGCTTTGGTCGAACACCTATGGAACAAGTCCCAGCAGTGAGTTCTGAGCCTCAGATTTTGATGTTACATCAGATTGGCTGCATGCTGCTCCTAGAAGAGAACCTCAGCTTCTTTGTGGAATGGTGTTAATGAAACAGAAAACAAGCAAACCTGGGCACCGACAACTAGAAAGCTAATACTGTAATTACTGAAACTTATGTCACAGAATATCTATTTCATAACGTAGCAGAGAAAAGTTGCCCAGTCAGCAGAAGGCTTCCCTAAATAGGAAGTTACATGCTGCAAATGCTTGCTAAGCTGCTAACTGAATATCGTGGCTCCACCTGCCAAAGGGAGGAAATAATGCTTAATTAAAAAATTGAGATTCACTTACATCCATAATGGTTACAGGGATGTCTCGGATTTTGTGAGGTTCTACATAGGAGTTCTGGCAGTTCAGGGTGAGTCTTGAGGCCAGCTCACTCTGGCCCAGGCTCTCCAGCTTGCAGTAGAGAGAAATAGTGATTAGCAACACATTCACTGCAGGAAGTTAATGCAATATTAACAATACAGCCAAAGAAAAGATAGTTTTAAAGGAATGAAGGTTATAATTCCAATTTAGTATTACTCTGCATGAGACAAATGCCTAAACCACATCCCACGAGTTGTTCCTGCCCCCAGAGCATGGCCTACAGTTCTATCCCAGCATTTTCTCCTTTTCCACCTCAGTTCCTTCACTCCTCTTGATTGACACAAATAAACAGAACTAAGGTAGAGGGTCAGTGAATCAGTTAAACTGCTGGGGCTGTGACAATCAACACCTGCTAAAGATCCACTTCTCATTCCTCCTTCCTGGGTCAGTGAATGAAGAAAGCAGCAGAGATATCTACAACCTCCCACTCAGTAAGTACAGAATGACATCACAGCCATCAGAGCACACAGCCACCTACCCTGTCCACCATGAAATCAATCCCATCAGCCATTTCAGGATCCAGAGGACCAGATGCAAAATTCCCAAGGACAATTTTTTTCAGCATAAAAGCAGGCATCAGCCAAAAGCTAAAACAGAAATAATATATAACAGTATCTTCAAGCACCAAGGACTCAACATAAAGATGCTGTATTGTAAATGCTTTCTTTCCTTGTACAGACTTTGTGCTTTAACTTCAAATTCATACCTGAAGAAACTTCTAGTTAATGGCAAAAGTATACTTTAAACATGGTGAACAACACTCTTCTTGCTCTAAATGGTTTTGGTAGACAACAGGCAGAGTTCTTAAATCTGATGACACATCCACAGAGGATCACAGAACAATTTGTCTAATTCCACACTGCATTAACATTTCCATTCTCCTCATGGTGTGCTTTTAAAAGTCACAAGTATTCCATTCCACACCTCCCTCCCCCAGGCTGGAATCAGATTAGACACATATCCAATGTGACATTTCATTGCAAAAAAATTAATGCCATGAGTCTGCTTGCTTGTCTGTCTTCTTTACCTGTTTGCTGTCCACGTCTGATTGAAAATAGAAGTGTCACTAAAGGCATTACACAAGATCAGAGATTGGACTCTGGGAGATTTGTGTGTGTATTCAGCAAACTTTTGAGCCAGAAAGCCTCCCAGAGAAGCTCCAAAAAGGTGAACCTAATGCAAAGAAAAAAAACAAAGCAAACAGATGATGAAACGTGACCTCTGAGCACAATGGTTCATTACAAAAATAGGTCATTCGAGTTTACCTTGTCCTTATAACCCAGTTTTTGAAAGAATCACTGTTCCATTTATCCCCTGGTTTTATGTGCAATATAAATGTGATAAATACTAACAAAAGGAAATGTTTCCCAAAGACTCACAGTACCAATTTCTTTATGTTCATCAAGCTTAAGAAAAAACCCAAACATTTCACTTTGTTCTTTATTGCTATCCAACCCAAGAGACTCAAACGTGGTGTTCTGTACTATGTGAGTTAGGAAGGATAACTTCCACAAGATCTAACAAAAAATGAAGTTAACCCATATGATTTAATAGGCCTGGAATAGCAGTTGAATTTAAGCCAAGTATGACCATTTCCAAGGGCATTCACCTTCAAAAATAAACTAGTTTCAAATGTGAAATTGCAACACAGCCTCTTTATTTATGGGCTATATTTTTGTATCCTGTTTTCTGCACTGGCTCTTAAATGAGCCTGTTTCAATATCAGGTTTTTATTGCAACAATTTGCCAACTTGTCTGGGAGCACTCACTTTATCCAGCTGAAGGTGGTCTAAGAGTTTCCTGAATCCATCACAGAACTCGAGGTGATCCCAGTACACTGGATACTGCAACTAAAATAACACAAAGTTAGAAGAAACTGGCTGAGCTCAATCTGCTTCAGAGTTGTACCAGTTCTCACATTTAAGGTTTCAAGACAATGCCGTGCCTCTCCAATATTATGAAGTTGTTCTTCAAGGTCCCCAGAGCCTGAGGGTGCCAACACCTCCCCCTCAGTTACACAGAAACACACCAAGTGCCACAGAGCAGAGTTTGCTGGGGAAAGTGCAGCATTGCCTCACCCTGTGATCAGTGGGAGGGGAGGCTGGAATGGTTCTTCAGTGATTTTGTAGCGTGTAACAGATACAGAAATCAACTGCTGCAAAAGACAGTGATACTCCTAAAGCCAGGCTGTTTAATATATTGTACAAATTAACACTTCAGCTCAGGAGCTGAGAGGCTCCAGAAGTGCAGGCTGGTAGGATTTAAGGAGTGAAATAGCATCTGCAGCTATTATATAATCTAAGAACCACGTTATCCACCATCCCTAAGGAAAACATGGAAACACTGAACTAACTCACGTGTTTACCTCAGGGCTAACAAAGATGCAGCTGGAGGCAAAAGTACTTGTGTCCAGTACACACAAGGAGAAAAGTAGGCTGAGAGGTCAACAGTGTGCACACACAAGGTTTTGGGCAAATTCTGCTGTGGACATACAGCAGATTCCAGCCTGGATCAACATGCTAACTACTCTGTAGTACAACTTAGCACAAAGTTTTTTGATGGATTCCTTAATCAAAACCAAGAAGTTCATTATCCAACCTCTAATCAGAGCAACAAGCACAAGTACAGCACCTTTGACACAGGGCTGAGAATACTCACAGCAATAACTCTGTAGCCCCATCCAGTCAATGCCAGAATTTGCTGGAAAAACACATCTGCAGTTCCACTCACAGGAGGGAGAAATATGAGTGGGCAGCGAATGCTCCTTGGTCCTGCATCATACAGGGACCAGACTTTACTGTCGTCATCATCTACTATTATCTGGAAAGAGAGGCACAGAGGGGAGAAGAAACACAAGACAAGTGAGGTTCTTCAGCCAGCTGCCAGGATGGCTTCTAGACATTTCCAACTTCTAGTAAATGTTAGAATACTTAAGGCCTTCTTTTACTCTTTTTCACAATAGCTTTCAGGCTGTTTTCTTACTGGAATGACAATGTGGATACAGCTGGAACAGAACTGTGGCCAAACACTATTGCCTTCTGTTTCAGCCTTCTGATTGTTGATAGATTCTTTTTACACTTTCTCACACTCTTTCTTGTAAACAATGAGTGTTTTGCATTCCTCTTTGGAGGAAGAGAGAATTGATGGACTGGTGATGGGACCTATGGGGTCAGGAGGTCTTACCCTCACTGTCCAATTCATGGTCATTGCTGGAATTCTATAAATAGACATGTAATGTAAATAAAGTGTTTCTTGTGCTGCTTGAATCATCGGAGTCAGGAGTGTGAGTCTCTCTCTTTCTCTGTGTCATAACAGCAACAACACACCATCACACAGAATATTGTGTGCAGTGTGACATAAGGTAGATAATGAACTGCACCTCAGGAAAGGAGGCACCATGCTCAGGAGAGACCCAAGAGGTCAGTTCAGGGTACCAAGAGCAGAAGCTGGAGGCTGGAAGAGCTAGCACTGCCCCAGGGACAGCTTTTTAAACAACTCCTGATATTTGCATCCACGGACAGATGTTATAGGTCTGGAACCACGCAGGCCTGCGGAATTAAGCAGCTATCACCACAAATTATTGACCTGAAACACTTACAGCTGCCTGCCAGAAACAGAGATACACACAACTCCCACGGCAGCACTGCAAGGCTGACCTGGAGGGAAAAATGCTTCCATCATCTGGCAGCATCTCAGGAGCATCTGCATTGCCCAGGACACGGCTGGCTGAGGGACATTACTCACACTTGAGGTGCCATCCTTAATGAGCAGCTCCTCATTCAGTACCACAAGTCCTACCATAATTAGTACCTTCAGAAGTGTTAAGGACTGGGTCTTCTTTTCTAGCAGCACCAAAGCCTGACTTGTTTTAACAAGGTGTCTTAGGTTTGAGTTGCCAATTTGAATAAACTTATTTTTCTTGTTGTGAGACAGACCCAGGAGCAAAAGAGCAAGGCAGGCTTAAGTCAACCTATCACACAAGGCCTGTTCTACCAGAAACTCCTTTCTATATTCCAGATGTTCTTTCAACTCCACAGCCCAGCAGAAGCTGCATCTTGTATCAGATCAACAAGCACAAACTTCTGGGGAAAGCCTGAATCAAGCAGCCAAAATACATTTCCTCTGTATTGAGATTTTATAGCTTTTTGAACAGTAATAGACAAGCAGAATTTGCTCTTCCAACTCAGCAATTAAGCTTCTCAGCAATCAGAGAACAGTGTATCACAAATCAGATTTGCTTGACTAACAAATCTGCTCCTAATAAAGCCAGTATTTCAGGCTCTGGGAGCATGTGAGGAATCACATGATAATGTTGTTTTCTAAAGTCTCTATTAAAAAAAGACAGATTGCATACCAGAGCTTCCAGACCATTGAAACCATTTAAACATAAACCTTGTACAAAAGCCCTCACAGTCCCCACCACAACTCCTTGCACACAACCCCTGGGCTCCAGGCTTTGCTGTTCCCAGCTGTAATTCCATCAGCAATGTTGGATCCATTCAGAGTGGCTACTACCAAGTTTACCTTTAGGAGTATTTCCAAAGGCAGACCATAGTCTTTGAAATGACAACACCAAAGTTAGTTCACGCCAAGAGAGCTAAAGCTGAAAGATAACATTTCTTTCCTCCAACCCAGACAGTGAATCAATGGTTTAAGCACTTGCTCTGGTTGATTTCTAGCCACATGCTAGACAGTTTAACTCCAGCTCTTGAGCTGTGTAGGCAGCAGCGTGGTTAAGTCCTGACTTGGGAGGTCACCAACTTTTTTCTTGTTCTGTTTGCTCAATCAAGATCAGCTACAGTTCACATAGAAGGTAAAATCTGCACCGCCTCAAAACAAAGAGCAGAACTTTTTAGCGGGGCCAGAGTGTCTCTTGATGAAAACTTTTAGGAAGGACTCAGATAAGAGAGCAAGTAGTGTATGCAAATGGAGGCACACAGGCAAAGCAGGAGATGTGGTTAAAAAATGTTATTTTGTGTGCTATACTTCCTATATTTGACCAGGGCAGGAAGGAGGATGGAGCTGTGCATTTCCTGTGCCTGTCAAGAGAAACATCTCAGCACATTCTCCAACAAACTGCTCTGGCTCTACTTCCTTAAGCTGATCTGACAGCAATTACGAAGGCTGGTCATTCCCTCCTCTGTACTGCACGTGCTTTGCACTTCTGGTGAGATAATGCAGGCAAATGTATTCCCAAAGACTGATTCAGAGATTAATTACATTTTCAAATTGGGCTTTTTTAAAAAAAAAAAAAAAAAAAAAAATTCTTTCTCCAGTAACCAGGACTAGTTTATTTCTTCATACCCCACATTCACGACTATAGCATCATTTGCCCTTTGAGGAGACAGAAGCACTTAGGAGGGTAAGGCATTCCCGAGTCTGAAGGTCACCAGGTCACCATCAGCTTCAGCTTACACACATCCCCAGTTATGAAACCCTGAGCCCTGACAGCAGCTGACGGCAGTGGCTGCTGGCACTGAACTGCAGCAGGACCACATTCCCTTGGAACTACAGCCTCCAGCTCCTTCCATTCACCACCCTGCATCCCACAAAGCAGAGCCTCAGAGCACCCACACATCTTTCTTCAGAAATCCTGGCCCCTGGCTTTGGTGACCCAGTGAGGCACTGCCTGAAGGCAACAACAGAGCACGTGGAGTCAACAGCAATGCACCTTTCTTCTCTACAGAAGACACAAACTGGCAAAAATTAATGAGAATCCTACAGCCCTTCCCTAAAGGTGTTTCTGCAAGCCCACATACCATCCAGATAAAGGAACCACATTCAAATCAGCTTAGCCCAAAATCAAATTATAACACACCTCAGGCTAGACAGGACACTGCTGCTCAGCTGTACAGCCACAGCAGTGACCACGCTTGCAGCAGCAGGGTGTAAAGGCAGGGCTGTCTCTGTCTGGCAGCAGTCTGGGCTGCTGCAGGTCACTCTAACCACAGCCCCAGCGAGCCTGACCTGCAGAAGGTACACGAGGACTTCATTGGGCCAGGAGTTACATATTGCACTGTGTGCCCTCTGCCACTCAGCACGTAGAGAGCAGAAGCTGGAGCCCTGCACACCTCAAACATTCTCCTGTGTCACAGTGAAAGGATATGGGGAAATCCAAGCAAGGTGAGAAAGTGGTTGGACAGTGTGATTAAGCAGAAGAAACTGTCTGGGTTTTTCCCCTGTGGTTAAGGATATTCCCACTCTCAGGACCCTGTGTGCAGCCCGACTGCTGGGAAGGTGCACAGGACACTGCTTTGGCCTGAGGACAATGGGCAGGAACAGTGGAGGTGGCTCTGGCAGCTCAGTCCAGTGCACCCAGGCAGCTCTGAGAGGTCACACATGTGATGCCCAGCACACACCACTCCCTTGGAGCCCCCTCCTCAGGCATGGCTGGCACTAGGATGGCAGGGACCACTGGCATGGCTCAGTGCTGTTGGTCTCTGCTCCCCACCACAGGCAGAAGTGACCTCCAAGAAGCATGTGAAGATGAAGGGTGTGCTTTCATGCACTCACATGACATGTGGGATGACAGTTCAGGAGATAAAGCAGCTCAGTAGCACAGCCACAACTGCTCTGCATTAACTACACTGAGTCTCTTCCCCCTAAAAAACAAGAGGAGATCTTTCACCCACAAGATTTACATACCTTTTTAAGAGGAACTGTGCTTCTGAACCAGTTATAGTCAGGAGAGACTTTAATCTCTCCCATGATGTTTAGAAAAAACTCAGTTTGGGTCAGCCTGAAAAAGAGAGAGAATGAGAAATCAATATCACAGTTTCACCGTGGGCAGCTCTTGAAAGCTGTGCTATGTAAATAAAGTAGTGCAGGGTCATTTGCTCTTATCAGTTGATGGCACTACCTCTGACTCACACGAAATTCACTTTTGCTCAGTTTTCATCAAACCATGCAATTATTCCCCAAGAGGCAGTCACCTGACTGCCTTTCTGCATCAACCTAATTACAAAATGATGATGCTTCTGTAGCAGCATTCCCTTGTGACAGCTGTAGAGAAAGTCAATTGTGCTGCAGGCTCTAAGTGGCTTCAAAACCTAAAGCATGTTCTTGGTTTCTTTTAAATTGATAAGGCACTCCAAGTTTATAGCTAATAAATATTCATACAATTCACTCAGGAGTTCACACCACAGACATTATTTCACGAACCTACTCAGAATTCAAGTCACGTTTTTCCATCTGAGTATAACTGACCCAAACGAGTCCTAAAGCACATCAGGAACATCACCTGATCCGAGGCTTAATTTACAGAAAATCCTTGAAATTTTAGTTCTATCCACACAGAAGCAGGCTCTTGTCAGGAGTTACCAATGAAGAAATCCTTGAAGCACACCAATTAACACAGCACAATTTGATTCTGAGTTGGGTTCACACAGGAATGCCACCAATTCACTCCCCAGCCAGAATGTCCAAGCATACATAACTAGTATCTTATAATACTCCATTAATTAGCAATAAACACTGAAGTAGCTCCAAGATTTAACTGTTTGGGGTTTTTTTAAGCAGCAAGAGACCATTAGCTTCCATTTATACAACAAATGGCATCAAACTCTTGTGAAGTTTGCAGACCCAATAGCTTCACCAAAGCCAGCTGCCTTGGGAGATTATTTTCATGCATTCACACACAGCACCAAGTATAGAAAAACAAAGAAACTTTTGCTCTTGTTACTTAACAGTTGCCAAGTCTAAATCAGTAGGTTTTGTTTCTTAATTCCTCATAAAATAAGACCTCGTTGTGTTCTGTGAGTCACTCCAATTCAATTGTCCCGGCAGGAGAGCTGCCGGTGGGCAGCTTAACCAGTTTATGGGGTTACAGCTGGATTAAATTAGTCGCAATTTCCTTATCTTTCAGTCTTCATTTGCCATCTTCCAAGTGCAGAAAAGTTGCGTTTTAAAAAGGGAAGTAATTTCTGAATTCCATGACAAACACACACCTTCCACAGGGCACGTGCCACACCTCCCACGTCCAAAGGTTCAAGGCGGGATGTTCAGCTGCGTGGCTGCTGTTTCAAATTTGTGTGGTTTCACTTCAGTGCTTGCACCAACTGTTCTGCACTCTATCAAAATCTGGCAGCAGGTAAAACTACAGCAAGGGTAGAAAATATCTATTCCAACAACCTGCAAAGCAGAGCAGGTGCAAGGATGCTTTCCTGGGCTGGGGGACTGCAGTCATTGGAGCGAGGAAATCGCGGTTCAGACTAAATCCTTTCCATAACCACACATCAATGGCTTTCTGAAAGCTCTTCAGAAAACAACAGTGTGACAAAATTGTGGCAGACAAATGACGGGAGATGCCTTAAAACCTACATTACCTTGGACTGTTACATTGGCAGAGCCAAGAAGGCACGGCCAAGGCCCTGCAGGGACACAGGGGCACCAGAGAGGGAGATCCTTCCTGCTGCTCACTCTGGTTGCCAGAGAGGGTTGGCAACCTCTTCCTGCTGTAATCACCTCCCTGCTTCTGCCACCTGAGTCTTTCAGCACCCTTAATCTAACTGCTGGGGGCTGGGAGCACAGAGCTGTGTCATTACAGTAGGTAAGAAAAAGGTCTCATGCAGGTGGACTTTCTGCTGTTCCTGTACCTTGTCTGGTACCACAGCGAGTTTAGAGTACACCTGAAACGCAAATTTTGAACTTCCCAGTTCATGTGTTACCACTCACAGAAGTGAGTCACTGGCTACTAACACGTGGGCTGATTTCCACCAGCTTTCTTCTGAAGGAGCATCTGTGATCACCACTCCTAAGGGCTGCCTTTCTCTCCAGGCAAGAGGAAGCTTGGATTAAAGAATATCCTCTTACTGAAATGTTTTTTTTTCCCTCCTTTCCACAGAAATGCAGCATTAAATTTGTACGCACAAATACTCATATAAACAGCAACTATATGTGATGTCCAGCCCAGAGAAGCTGAACCATTTGAGTTAAATAATGAACACAAAACAGGGATTCAGCTACTAATGGTAACTCAGGCTACAAAGAGCCTGATATTGGTCATGATCAACTTCTAAACACCCAAGTTTCCTTTTCAGTAAAACCAAACAACCTGAAGAACTTGAACCTCTTAAAAACAATTCCTCTACAAGAATCACCTATGGATTTACTCAGAGCACTTGGTAATAGCCTCCTTGTGAGTTATTCCACTACACTAATGACACATTCCATTCATTATTGATTTTAAAAGACAATGAGAAAGAAGATTTATGGGTAACCGGGATATGGCAGCAGCATCTTCCCCTCTTCCCCAGAGCTGCTTCCACCAACCCTGCCCCTCGCCCCCAGTCCCTGCTCCTTCCCCTTCCTCAAACACATTTGGCTCCAGCTTTGCAGGGAGAAGGGGACAAACCCCCACACCCCCAGCTCAGCTTTCCCCTCTGCAGCACAGGCTGAGGCAGCCCCTTCTCCTGAGAAACCCCGAATAAATGGAGCCCCAAGGGGGCTTTGGGCTCCCTGCGGGGCCGCGTCCCAACCCTCTCCCTTCCCTCCCTCAGGGGTCGCAACGACCCCTCTCCAGAGCCCAAAAGACATCCCCCATCCCCTGCGGCGCAGCCTTTCCAGGGCTGACACCGTCCCGAAGGAGCAGAGACCGCCCCGCTCGCCTCAGCGCCCACCCGGCCCCTCAGAGCTTCCTCCTCGGTGCGGGGCACTGAGAACAGGGGCAGGCCCCTCTCCACAGCGACGACCCCCACCTTTCCCATCACTGCTGGGCGCTCACCGGCTGGCAGGACCCGGGAACGAGGAGCAGGGCCAGGAGCACCGGGACCGGGGCCGCCGCTGCTCTCCCGCCTCCCGCTCCCGCCCCGCGCGCCCAGCTGGGGGCACCCACCGCCCGCCACTTCCGGGTGCTGCTCCGCACCGCCCACGTGACCCCTGGGCGGGGCGTGGGCGGAGCGGAAACAGCTCCGCCGCCATCGCTACCGAGGCGGAAGTGGGCGGGAGAGGCGCCATCGCTACCGAGGCGGAAGTCACGTGCCTCCCGTGTTAATTCACGTAATAATTTGCGTTGGAAGGGACTTTTTAAGACTTGTTTTGTTCCACCCCCTCCATGGTCAGAGACTACTAGAACACGTTGCTCCAAGCCCTGTCTAACCTGGCCTTGAACACTTCCAGGGATGGGCCGCAGCTTCTCGGGCAACCTGTTCGCTGCGGGGCAGCTCAGGTTAATTGAACAGAGCGACAGGTGATACTGAGTCATTCCTCTAATGAATAGGTGGAGTCAATTAGCCCCGTTTAATTGGCATGTAATAAATAGGAGTTGAAGATGAGCTGAAGGAGCAGACCTATAATTACCTTCAGTTGTAGGTGTGTTTTCTATTAGCCATACCTAAGGCATACTCTTCATTAGATAGTATATATTTATACAGTGCTTTTCTCTGCTTGAAGACCACCCCACAACACGCGGTATCATTCTCTATTCGCTCCCAAAATTGCTTCAGTTTGCCTGAAGTTTTTTCTGCTCCCATCTTAGCTGATCTTTTCACGAAAGGCTTTAAAAAAACCCAAACAACACATTTATGTGATCAAAGGCCAATACTCCTCTCATATCGTATTTAGAAAGAGGAATTAAAGGGCGGAATCGCCGGGAATACACACACCTGGACCGTGTGCCCAGGATAGACTGAGAGAGGCTGGGGGCGTGGACTACGTTTCCCCCAATGCCACGCGGCGCTAACGTAACCATTCACTATTGTGACTACACTTCCCATGACACCCCGCGTGGAGAGTGCGTTCACGTGGGCGCAGCGCTGCGCGATGCCCGCTGGGATCTGCAGTCCCACGGTGACGCGCGGTGCCGTCACGGGGGCGTTACCGGGGCGGGCGGGGCCGGACCGCCGCCAGCGAGGCCTTGTCGGCGGCGGGGGGAGCCGGCCGAGCCCGCGGCCGCTGCACCATGTCCGCCTGCCACAGCTGCGCCGCTGCCGCCCGCCTCTTCGGCTCTACGCTGCCCTCCGCCCGCAGAGGTAACCGCGCTCCGGCCGCCGGCCTTCCCTCACCGGGCCCGGTGGGGTCGGGCCCTTCGGCCCGCGGCCCTGAGGGCAGCCCCGGCCCTGCCGCTGCCCTTATCGCGCTGTGACAGCGGCGGGACACGGCGGCCTTTCCCCTTTTTTCCCCTCATTTTAGCCGTTTGCTGGTGTCACCCGCGCGGTGCGAGTGGGGGTAAGGGCAGCGCTGCGTGGTGTGAAGTATCGGAGAATTTGCCCTCGCTATGGCGAGAATAGAATTTATTTCAAGAGAAGTGATGCTCAGCAGCTGTCGGCCAGCGTGTGTTACTCTGCAGTGCTAGTAAATACGTTTAATTGGCTTAATTGCCTTAATTAATTAAAAGTCTACTTTTGTGGTAGCCTTAACTTGAAATATTTCTCATAAAGATGGGCTTAGTTAGCAAAATCAATTATTTCCAACTTGGTAGAAGGAAGAGACTGTGCCAGCTTCTCACTGGAAGTTGAAGGCTGTGGAAGGTTGTTACTTTTTTTATTGTTTTTCCTTGTTTACCCTTTTCGTTGTATTCTTGGGGTTACCGAGAACAGACAAACCATGTGCTGCTTTGGGTGGAAGGTAGAGCACCCCCAAATTGTGCTGAAAAATCTCTCTGTTGCCACATTTGCAACAATATTTTCAATTACTCTACCCTCCCAATAGCCTGATGAGTCAGAGATAATTTACTGCCCTTAAGAAGTGAGTTAACCCTTTGTAGGTGCCTTTACATTTATATCTCAAATATCAGCTGTGCTGCAAGGTTCAGACCTGTACTTTCAAGCCCAGTCTGTCTGGCCTTATGCAACCCTTCTGAAACAATCATCTTTAAAGGAAGTACGATTTGGAATTCATTACAGAATCGTCTTTTTAAAAAATTGTGGAGTTTTTGGTCAGAACTAAGATTCAAAAGGATTATGTAAAAGAGCAAATGAGAATAAAATGTAGATAAAGCAATACAATTATTTATCCATCAGCTTTCAATGAAAGTTGTTTAAAAACAAACGTGTGCGTATCTTTTATATTAAATTTTGTCTTCTGCCAGGTGCTTTGTTTGCTGTTGCTGATTGATGCCAGCTTGAGAGAGTTCAGAGTGCACAGATCAATGTAATCAATCGAGAGTTATGTGACACAGTTTCAGTTTGTTACAGTCTCCCTGTCACTTTCCTGAGCCATAGCTGCCCCCAAGATCCCCCAGGCTTGGCCCAAAAGTCAGTATTTATTTCATCAAGTATCAATTAAAGGTTAATAAGGCATTAAAGAGCTTCCCATCGTTTCTTAACACAAATCCGAGCACCCTGGATCGGTTCCATTGCTGCCAGCAACGTTAGGGACACGTCCTTTGAATTAAGTGCTCCAAAAAAATAAAAAAAGTCACCTGAGCCACCGTGCCAGGTGTGTGAGCAAATCCTGCCAGCTGTTACATATTGGAACATTTTTCATTGTCTGGAGTGGTCAGTGGCAGCTGCCAGGCATTGGGCTGGAATGTTGCTTTCCCCTGAAAATCTCCCTCTGGGTTTATTGGCGCAAGGAAGTAGTGGTGCTAACTTTATTACTGCTTCATTGTGTAATTCTACAATGATATTTTGTCCAAAAAAACACCACTCAGGCATCACGATGAGCACACGAGGTTTTTCATGCTTAGCCACAAGCTGATGTAGCAGTAATATGATTTTTTTTTTCCCCGGTTTAATCTTCACAGCTCAGTGCTGTGTAAGGTTTCATAGTTCATCCCATACAGTTCTCAGTGCATTTTCTGTCTCGCAAGAGCACTCTGAATTAAAATGAGGACTGAAATGTTTGAGCTTTTGTGTTAGTGCTTCAGCCTTTCTCCACAGGCCAAATCTCCTCGTGGTACAAGGAAAGTTGTGTGACTTCAGGATTTGTTCAAGGGAGGGAGGTGGTCGTTGTTTTATTTTAAGGGGTCTTTTCTCAGTTTCTAAAACAAATCTCAGTAAAGAAGCCATCTCTGAGGAACGAGCCTCCAAGACAGGGAACTGCTCTGAACAGCTATTGCCTTGTAAACATTCACTAAAGCTTTTCTTTACTGGCAAGTGCACTTGGCACACGGAGTCCTCAGAGTTCTCTGCACATTCAGTTAAAAGACACAACTGCTTCTGAGAGCCAGCCAGTGTTTTCAAGTTTTCTATGATGTTTTCATAGCTTATCCTGTGTAATCTAAAATGTGTTGCAGTGGCACTCAGCAGAGGAATTTAAAATGGGGAAGCTTATTGATTGTTATTCCTCCCTCACGTTTACAGACAGGAGCAATGCTGTTAGGAGATTTTTTTCAAAGATTAATTTTTAGTTATATTAAAAATAGCTACAAGTCATCTTCAAGTTTGAGAATCTTAAGTAGCATGTAAGTTAATAAACC